TACTCCACTCATTTGAACTGAAGTATGAAACCAAATCTCTTAGATGATTTAATGAAATCCAACCTAAATCCAACTCTCAATTCGCTGGCACACTACTGTTTTTTCCTCTGTGGCCAACAAATAAAGAATTCACGTGGAAAATAAGATCCATGCAATAATATTCTTACTGCCCATCTTTGACTGTTTGTTTCGGAAATAAACACGTGGACCACCATTCAACAATGGTCAGCCAGTCTTGTTTCGCCACCCAGGAACATTTTTATTTTCAACTCGTGATTCAAAAAGTTATATGCCACTAATTGGTAGCTGAATAGAGAAGCGCTTTATTCTTGAATCTTCATCCATGGCGGAACTCAACCAGCTGCCTTCTTCAATTGATCCAAGAAGTGGCTTCTGCAAAGCTAATTCCACCTTCTACAGCAAGCGCAAACAAATCCCTTTACCCTCAAACGACTCCCTCGATGTCACTACCTTCATATCTTCGCGATCGCACCGTGGTAAGACTGCGTTCATCGACGCCTCCACCGGCCGTAAGCTCAGCTTTTCTGACGTCTGGAGAGCCGTCGAAGCCGTCGCCACCTGCCTCTCCATCGACATGAACATCCGTAAAAACGACGTCGTCCTTCTCCTCAGCCCCAATTCCATCTACTTCCCCATTGTTTGCCTAGCCGTCATGTCCCTGGGCGCCATAATCACCACAACAAATCCTCTCAACACTTCCCGAGAAATCGCTAAGCAAATCGCCGATTCAAAACCTGTCCTCGCCTTCACCATACCCCAGCTCCTCCCTAAACTCGGCGATTCAAAACTCCCCATCGTCCTCCTTGACTCCGCAAACTCATACCCCAGCAAGTTCAAAATTGTGAATACTATAGTAGAAATGATGAAAAGAGAACCGAGCCAAAGCCGAGTCAAGGAACGAGTGAGTCAAGATGACACAGCCAGTCTATTATATTCTTCCGGCACAACCGGTATGAGCAAAGGGGTTGTTTCATCGCACAGAAATTTGATAGCAATGGTTCAAACAATTGTGAGTCGATTCAAATTAGATGAAGAAAATCACACTTTCATCTGCACAGTTCCCATGTTCCATATCTACGGTTTAGCAGCTTTTGCCACGGGTCTATTAGCCGCTGGATCTACAATAGTAATCCTATCAAAATTCGAGATGGATGAAATGTTAATGGCTATACAGAAATACACCGCCACCTATTTACCATTAGTGCCACCAATTCTGGTGGCGCTTGTGAATAACGCGGCGGCAATCAAGAAAAAGTACGATTTAAGAAGCTTGAAGTCTGTCTTGTCTGGTGGTGCGCCATTGAGCAGGGAGGTGATAGAGGGGTTTGTGGAGAAGTATCCAAATGTAACAATATTGCAGGGCTATGGTTTGACGGAGTCAACAGCGATCGGTGCCTCGACGGACTCTTTGGAGGAAAGCCGCCGGTATGGCACTGCGGGGATGCTGTCACCGAGCATGGAGGCAAAGATTGTGGATCCAGAGAGTGGCGAGGCGCTGCCGGTGAATTGCACCGGTGAGCTTTGGTTGAGGGGGCCCTCCATTATGAAAGGTACAAATATTATGTTTGGGCTTAATTCTATTGTTAATATATTTGTCAAAGACTTGTCTAATAACGTGCTTACCTAGTATTAATTATGGCCTGTTTGTTTATGATTCTCAAA